AGGGCGTCTTTTTTGGCCATTCCTGTATATCATAGCAATTTCAAGCAGTACCGCATGCGGCCAAGATCAGCCATTTCGTTGGTCGAACATCCGCATAAAGCACAGCCCCCCCCCCCCCACTTTCTTGAAGCTTCTCCATAGGGCACCATCCAGAGCTTACTGAATTAGCCTACGAACAATCTTACATGGGTCGAAACTACAGCCTAGCCCTCACCTCCCGAAAGGTCCACCGAGTTGAAGAATTTGTATGATGTATAAATAAAATCTCTCCTCGTATGTCTTCAAAAATCATAGTGCCCCTTTCACCACATACGATCCCCAACCTTTCATCAGCGGCTGGGCGCACATGTCCTTGTGTGCAGTGCAGTGCATATTTGACGGATAAAGCTAAATTTCGTTCAAAAACACCAATTCTGCCCTATCAGCCCAACTCCTCGTTCTTTCTGGTCTGACTCACAATTTCATTTTTTTTCTTACAAGTTCTTATAATCTAGGCGGGACAATGCGAATAGGTGCCTCAACCATCATAAAATACCCTGGGTGTGTCAGGATATATCGTTTATGGTGAGGAACATCTCAGCCACCGCATCGGCACTTTTTAGCTAGCTGCCTCGAAAAAGGAACCTTTACCGTGTTTCAATTATGTCTTTACGCCGGAATCCGTACTGCTCTCACGTACACAAAATTCCTTACAACTTATACATTATCTTCATTGGAATCTAATAAAAGTAAGATTTCTGATGAGAATAATTTTATTTATTTGATGGGATATAACACGTAAAACACATTCCGCGATCACCGAGGTGTGGTTACTGCGCTCAAAAATAATATTACAGGTGCGAAGTGAATCACCATAGTAGGAAAAATGAGAGCTTTTCTCTAGGCGCTCAGAGAATTTACGATACAGACCGTCAAAAGACATCGGCAATGAGGAGGAAGAATAGACTCGGCAACAAGGGAGTAGAGGGACGAGCGAGACGCAGACATCCCCATTCCCGCCCTTTCACGTAGATAATTTGATGTGCAACCCGTAGCGCCTTCGCCACCCTTATCAAGCATTGAAGAGACTTTACTTCTGCAACTGTGCTCCCTCCTATCTCCTTTTAGGGGGAAGGGACGAGAAATAGGTAGGTACACTAATGAATCGAGACAGCGGAATGTGCCTTCGACTACTTTTATCTAGGCGACATTTTAATAGTTCATAACAATAAAGATTCACAACAATAACAAACAACGTAACAACATCCAACACATCGTCACAAAAGTAGCGTTACTCAAAAATATAATGAAAACTATGCAGTTAATAGATAACAGTAATGTCAGGACTGGAGAGAAACTAACTTTCCATTTATGCAGACCCCACTTTTCGCAAGCTTACTTTCGAACAGCTCCTCTGCTCCTTCTTCATCACCAATGGCCTCCTTGTACGCATTCACAACGGCTTTTCGCAATTTTTTCACCTTAAAAAATCCAAGCGTTCATGAAAAAACAACAACCCGCGAGCTCAAAAATCCAGTATCGAAGTGCAATGCGATAGCTCGGAGCGATCTCTGTATTATAGCCTTTGAGATTGGCCGAGGACAAAAAAGGACTTGCGCACAATTACAACACCACGATCATGCCACTGCGATTAGCCACATATAGGGTAAAAAGATACAGCATTTGGCATTCATCAATCCCTTTTGGGATGCGGCACGCATTCTACTTCCATTTGTACATTCGCAGTGGCATTTGAATGCGATGTGGCCTATACAATGACTTGCGGGGGCCAGCCGATGTACAAGTCAGTGTTTTTATCCTCCCAGACAAGTCTGGTACCAATTAACCGACCCCGGAGGGATGGAAGGCTTGGTTTGTCCGGATGGCGTACCACGCAGAATTTGATCTTCAGACAACGCGCGTGTTAGAGGCGCCACTTGTTGTTAGCCATTACGCCTGACCCACATTACTCCATGTCGATATCGAATGAATAAAAATGATTGAAAAAATTTCCGTTAGCCATGAAGTGGCAGTGGCGCAAATCACCATGCGGATCATGCTTGATGGTACTCCGTTCAACCAAACCTTCCATCCCTTTGTGGTCGTTTAGTTGGCACCAGAGGTGTCTGGGAGGACGAAACTGACTTGTACATGGGATGGTCCACGCAGGTCACTGCATTGGCCGAATGACCCTGCCGATTTGCGAAGCGAAGTAGAATGCGTGGCGATCCCAAAACCAGTGGGATCGTTTAGCCCGCCAATGTGTCGTCCGTCTAATGAGTAACGAATCGTGAGCCAATCCGCGCCAAGCCATTCCAAGCCCAATCAAAATTTCTCGACAAATACCGTCGCGAGAGGTGGAATAATCAATGAAACAGCAAAATCCCCTAATTTCATCCTAAATTACGCATTTCTCCATGAAAATTGTGATATACCGGTCAAGACTTTGCCCCTCCGCTGCCAACAAGACCCCAATTCTGGCTACCACCACTCACTCTGAAAACGGCGAACACGACCCTTCTCCACCATCACGAAACCATGAATACAGCCATCGTTCAAAAATCTCAGAGTATAGGCCACTCCTTCCTCCACCCCTCTCAGCGCTCCTCCAGGTGAACATGACACAACGGACGGTGTGACTCCTGGGGCGGTATTCAATCCTTCCCCCAGGGGGATATATCCCCCTACTCTGATTCAATCCTCTGGGGGGACAAAAAAGGGTTGCGTCATAGGACCTCGCATACCTCTGTGTTTCTACCTGCCAGACAGTTAGAGCAGCGCGACCCCTCAGGGGAAAGAGTGCTTCATCAGTGGAGGGTAGTAGCGCTGCTCTAACTGTCTGGCAGGTAGAAACACAGAGGTATGCTAGGTCCTATGACGCAACCCTTTTTTGTCCCCCCAGAGGATTGAATCAGAGGAGGGGGATATATCCCCCTGGGGAAGGATTGAATACCGCCCCCTGTCTGGGAGGAGCTTCACGACCACACAGCTCAATCGCTTTCATTTTTTTTTCTTTACACAGACAAGCCTCTAGGGTTATCGCATGCAAGAATATAAACCAGCCTTCATTTCTCCACCAGCTTCTCGTAACTTCCGCTTAATTGTTGATTTCCATTTGAAGTTTACAGGTGATGCAGATTCCTGTGGAAGAGCAATTATGTGAATACGGTTAAAACACTTCGCAAAATGCCCCGAATTATTTATCCCTGTTATTAGCGTGATTCAGTGGGGGGGCGGCCCTTCCATTTTTTCGGTCCTCCATATTCCTTTGGGTCACAGTTGATCGGAGCGACTTCCTCTATTCTGGGAACCAGAACGTTTTCAAAAAGCCCCGTACCTGACAAACCATGCAGTGGCGAACCTTTTCAGTTGCTTTCTGCAACTCCTGCTCCTTCTTCACCTTCTCGGCCTCATCAGCGATCGCTTTCCATGCCATCCGACAAAGGGCTTGATCCCTTATGCGACAAGAATTCGTTAGAAAATTGATAAATTTAGCCTCCTAAAGACATGCGCGTTGCGACAAGTTGATCGAATCACAACATTTGAACGAGGCCAACCTTTCGCGGAATGTTGCTGTACCCCTGAATATTCTGCAACAACGACCTTAAACGCGGATCCTTCACAAACTCAATTGCACGCTCCACCTGCTCGCACCAAGCATTCTGCTTCACTTCGCCCTTAAATATCCAAGGACTATTTCCAATCAAAGAAAGAAAGGAATCAAATATACCTTCGCCTCTTTTTCCACATAGTTTTTTGGATCCATACTTTTGATTTTCCGTTATACACTTGACATGTTGCTGATAAGTGTACGGTCTAGAAAGGAAAGCAATTTGGGCAAAACAACATACAACACAGAACACGATATTCTTCAGAGAAATTAGACAAGAAATAGAGGATGAATCGAAATTATGTTAATGTCATAAAAAATTGTCGAATATGAGGTATCACATGCAGCCCGTCGATTGCTTCGGAACCCTCACCCCACCGACTTATTTTCACACTGACAATCGATATAAATAGATGACTGCGCCCCTCCCAAATCATCAAATCACAAATCACATCGCATACCGTAAATACTCCCGATATGGACGGGACAGGCCGTGAGGTTCTACTCTCAGGACATCGAAGAAGTGGTTGGAGAACATCCGATTTCGCATCCATCTCCTCAATTCCGCAATCCCTCCCGCCTCAGCTGCTTGGACTAGGTGTGGGGAGAATTGGCATGCTGTCAGCACTAGCTGGCGGGTCTAAGAAGAAACGACGCTTTGAATTCCCAAGATGTATGGAAAGAAGT